TGTGTGTGTGTGTGTGTGTTTCAGGGTGCCTCCAAGGCGTTGGGTTATGGGGTCCGGTTAAATGCTGTTTGCCCAGGCTTTGTGCAGACTGACCTCATGGATCAAATCCCAGAGCAACTGGGACCGTACACTGTGCTGGGTGAATCTGTGGAACAGATGAAGGAGAAGCTGGGAGTTTTATCGTGAGTTCTTGTTTTATACCAAGCCTCTAGTTTCCTCTGTGCACCATTCTCTGTGCACCATTCTCTGTGCACCATCACTTATTTAAAAATGTGCCATGCAGAAGTCTCCATGAGTTTAATACACAACAGTTACCAAAAATGTTGTTTAATGTAAATAAAACAACACCAAAACTCATTCTTTTATTTACATTTCACTCAAAAGTCCATCATTCATTGTGTTTTTAAATTCCACAAATATTAAKAGAAACCAAACGTTAGTGACCATTGAAGGAACCATGCTCTTTTTTACATTCAGCACGTCTGACGTGGCCGAGGCCTTCCTGGAGCTGCTCAAAGATGAGACGAAAGACGGACAGGCCCTCTTTGTGACACCGAAAAAGAGGAGTTATGTGCAATTCCCATCACTTGATTCAAAGGAGTAAATGACCATGAAACAGCGCCACCTACAGTCAGCTGCTGGACTGAAACCAAAGTGCAAACTGCAGCCTCATTTTTCTTTATTTAATGCAGTTTACAATTAAATTTTTCTTTTTGATGTACTTCCTGTAACATTTGTTCTAAAGMAAACAGTTTGATTCAACACCTGTGGTGTTCACAAAACTTCATCACAAAAAGGAAGTTCATCAAACAATGGAATCTGGTGTGGGCATTTATATTTATAACTTTATTTTAGTAGTAGTAGTAGTAGTAGTTGTAGTTGTAGTCGTAGTAGTAGTCTCTGTCAAATCTGCAGAATTGGTTCTTGTGTTCTGTCATGTTTTTACATTTTTGTACAACAGACAGTGAACAGTCAGATTTTTTATTTACAAAAAGGATTTGAAAAAGTTTCCTGTTGCTGTTTACGACTTCATCACTAGATGTCAACATTTCATGTATGCTCCTTTTTAAATGTAATTTAAAGTCTGATTATACTAACCCTGTCAGAAAATTTGTCACTTTTTCATGTTTGAATAAAAAATAATTAAGCAAAATAAAAGAGCAGCAAAAGACTTGTTTGTATTGTTTTATTGTGACTTTAAGTCTAGGAAAAACTAGGAGTCAAGCAGTTTTGTAGCCTGACCCTTGTCTTCCTGTGCAGTTCTGCTCAATTCTTGTTTCCCTTCAGCAAAGCGAAGAACAAGAGGCTGGATTTTACCAGGCTGACACTTTTGAGCAGAGTTGAAAGGTTTAGTGTTTTAGTTTGGCTTGTTTTTATTAGAGAAAATAAAATCCAGTGAATTTAACTGTGATTGGATGAGAAGTATAAATGTATATTCTGACACCTAGTGGTTGGTACAATCATGAGACAAATGACATCAGACTCTTAGGTTAAGACTGGCACAGCCTTCAGAAAAAAAATTTTTTTGGAGTACATCACCCGTCAAGAAATGTAATTTTGGAAATTCTAACAGCTCTATATTTTTAATACTTCAATATATTTTGTCAGACATTTACTAAATACTTCAGGACAGTAAATGTCAGATAGTGAAAGGCTTTTACTCTAATAATGTTCTTAGAGGAGACAAACATTTATCAGTCTTAATACTGCTCTGTTGTTGTAATATTATGCATTTTTGTGTCAATAATTGCATTGGCAATGTGGCCTCTTTCTGCACACACACAAACCAATCCCTGCCACCATTTTCTGCCACATCTCCATTGGTCTAATGGTCTATGTCATGGGCTTTCACGTGGGAGATCAGGGTTTAAAACCCAGCTAACGCAACTTTAACAAAAAAATCTCTTCAAACTTCATATTGTCACACAATTACCTTAATTACAAACACCTGCTGACGTGACAGGCACAAATTGGTATAGAAAACATATTTGAACTTGGTCAACGTTCATTCTGCAAGTCCATTGCTGCAGGCAAAGACATGCTACATGGCAATGCACACTTGTTTTTACATCGTAAAAACCCATGTCTAGTTTTAATTGTACTTTCAATTATCACTTTGAAGTACTTTACAGTGTTTTTCAAAGTGGGGGCCACTAGGGGGCCTCAAAAAGCTTAAGGGACAATAAAGTGCAAAAAATAAATCTGTTTTAAATCATAATAAATTTGAATCTGTTTAACCAAACATTTTGAAATATAATTCATAATATATTGAAATGTTATTTAAAAGAATCTAAAGAGAAGTTTGATTTCTTTTATTCTGTTCTTATCGTTGGCTTTTCACATGTTAGGTAATATTCTTATGCTGAACAAATTAGCATATTAAATTAAAACTTTCTAAAGTTTTTTTTTTTAGCATATTTTGCTGCATTGTTTATGGGTTTGCAAAGGGGGTCCCTGGCCAAAAACTAATGCTTTGTTGCGTGCTTGTTCCTATTCTAACACTGTTGTTATTTCTATTTTAACTGTATAGACCAGGGGTCTGCAACCTGTGGCTCTGGGGCCACACGTGGCTCTTTGAAAATTTGACCAAACATAACAGATTTTCTTTGTTTTGTTTTAACTATTCTCACAACACTAATAAATTTTATGCAAATATGTGATCAATACTACTAATTTAAAAAGTAAACATGTTAGCTCATGCTAGCCTGTTGTCTACCTAAATAATACAACTTATTTCTATGATTTTTCCCTCAAATCCATCAGGGTTATCTTTAAACACCTTTAGGACTATTTAATAAGAATTAGGAAAAAAAATGTCTGACTAATTCAGCTGTACTCGTTTTTATGAAATCCTGTATAAACTATAGCCAGTATTTTTCTTGTATCGTGTGTTTTTTCTTAAGTCCTGAAGTGTAAAAATAATAAATAATAATATTCACAATATATGTTTTAGGTTTATGTCACCTCCACTGGCCATAAAGGTTCACGAAAAGGCCTTGAAAAGGCCCATGGACCACCAGTTGATAATCACAGTTGTAGCTTATTTTGCGGCTCTGGACATATTTTATTAGTGAGCCGAGGAGCAGAAATGTCTCTTTTGATTGTAAAGGTTGCAGACCCCTTGTATAGACGCTAAAGAAAGCTCATTGTTCTCTGTGTTCATCCGGTTCTCCAGAGTTTTTATACTTATTTCTTCCTTGTGTGCTAGAAAATTTCTTCCTTTACACTTTACTTGAACGGCTGCAGCTGTAATATTTGCAATTTCCCCCGGGGATCATTAAAGTATGGAAGCACATTTCCGCCACCCTGATAAAAATAAATAAAACTTGTATCTCATAATTATGAGATAGTATCTCATAATTATGACTTAGCTATCTCATAATTATGAGATAGTATCTCATAATTATGACTTAGCCAAGTCATAATTATGAGATATGAGATAGCATCTCATAATTATGAGATAGTATCTCATAATTATGACTTAGCCAAGTCATAATTATGAGATATGAGATAGTATCTCATAATTATGAGATAGTATCTCATAATTATGACTTAGCCAANAGAGCCAAGTTTTTTATATGTAGAGCCAAGTTTTTTATATGTAGAGCCAAGTTTTTTATATGTAGAGCCAAGTTTTTTATATGTAGAGCCAAGTTTTTTATATGTAGAGCCAAGTTTTTTATATGTACAGCCAAGTTTTTTATATGTACAGCCAAGTTTTTTATATAGAGCCAAGTCACAACATCCGTCATCTCAGAGCACTGTACACACAAAAAAAAAAAAAAAACAATCTAAAGAATCCAGCAGATTGTGTTGAATTGAATATTTGCAGACTGAACTCAAATAAAAAATTGATTCGTTATATTCTCTAAGTGTTTTAAATAAAATTTGGACATGCTTTATAAACTGTGGGCAGCAGTGGTTCGAGCAGATTCAGGAGTTTAGATGTTCTCCCTGTGCAAGAGTGGGTTTTCTCCAGGGACTCTTGTTTTTTTTTTACCACAGATCAAAAACGTGTTTCAGGTTATTTAGTACCTGTAAATTGTCCCTGTGTGAGTTGAACAGTTAGTGTCTGTGTCCCTGTGATGGACAGGAGACATGTTCGGGTGTCCCCCACTTCACACTGACTGCTGGAGACACAGCTCCCTGTGAGACAGAAGTGCTTAAAACATGGATAATTTAAGAGCTCTTTAAAATAACCTTCTTGTCCAAGACCTCCTCCTTAAAGTAACTTTTACTTAATACGTTTCTTTTTGAGTATTTGTACACAGGTACTTGTCATTGAGTAAATTTTTGACTGTAACTGTACTTTTACAGTTTTGAATATGTTATTCTAGTACTTTTTGCTTTTTTTTCCTCCCCTCAATGCAGATATTGAGCTAAATATTAATGTAGCTGAAAATCTTTCACAGCACATACTGAGTGCTGACTGAGGCTTGTTAAAAATGCCAATATTTATTTAAAGTAGGGCTGTCAAAAGATTTATATTTTTAATCTGATTAATCCCAAAGTAGCTGTGGATTAATCATGATTAATCTTAAATTTAATATGTTTCTGTTGCAAATTGATAAAATAAATTACTTGATACTTGAACCTTTATTTATGCAGGTAAACTGTTTGAGAACCACTTCTCATTTACAAACATGACCTGACATGATGCACTGAGTGCATTGTAATATACAAACCTACAGATTCAGCCAGAGTAAAGTCATTGTACATTTTAATCACAATTAAAATGTTTAATCTATGCCCATGCAGCACTAAAATTAATCGAGTTAACTCGATTAATTTCACAGCCCTAATTTAAAGTCAACTGTGTTTGTTGGGAAAACTTAGCCACAAAAAACTAGATTTTGGGAAACGCACACAAAAAAACAAAAAAAAATCTATAACATGATTTCTGTAACAAGTTAATGTTTGACATGTACCC